TTGGGAGTTGCGGAGGCAGGGTGAGGAAGGGCCTTTGGGAGAGGGAACAGCATGTGGCACAGAGTAGGAAAGAGCATATAAGCAGTAAGAGTAGAGAGGGGGAGTGTTTAAGGTATTGAGGACAGCAAAGGTTAGGCTTCAAAAGGCAGGCAAGAGTCGGATGATGAAAAGGTCTGGTGTGTTCAGCAGGGGGTGTGGTGTGTAGGGCTTTATCCTGTGGGTGATGAGAGCTGTTGAAATGGAAAGAGGAGGATGTTCCAGGCCTACCTCAAGGTACTTAGCTCCTGAATCCTGTCGCTCAGCAAACCTGCAAGTTGGCTTTTTAGTCTGTGTGGCCAGGCTCTGAGAGTTTAAGTGGTTGACACAAGCTGAGTTGGCTATTTAGATGGAGACCATCCTTCTGAATGATGGGTGTGTCTAGCTTAGGGGGGTCAGGAGGGGGTGCCTCCCCTCTGTCTCCTCTCCAGAAGCACATCCCTGTGGCCTCCCTGGGACTCAGCCCCATCCTCTGGCTCCCATGGTGCCTCTCAGCAGCCCTAGCCCTAACCCCAGCCTGGCACCCTCCAGAGTGGGGGGAGTCTGTGGCTAAAGGGTTAACATGTCTAGAACTTACTCCCCTGGCTGCCTCTTGGCCAAGCCTCAGTCCTTGTCAAAGTTCACTACCTCCCAGGCACATATGGCCTTTGATGCCGCATTCCCACGTTTAAGGAGCCAGATTCCCTCCCAACCTGCCAGGGCCCCTGTCTGCCTCCAAACCGCCTGTGTCCGGGGTGGGCACGGTGCCTCTGCTATTGGACGGCATTGATTTTCCTCCATGACAGTCGGTCATCACTGCTTTGGGTAATGTATTTTAATGAATTGTTATCCTGCTGGACGTGGACTCAAAGGACTTTTTATCGTGAAGGGTCCCATCCTGAAAACCTTAATAAATCAGCCACCGTTCAAATCAGGCCTGGTGCTGGACAGGGAGGAGTCTCTCCTCGCCGAGTCATCGCTAAGGAGCCTTTCTCTTGCCCTCTAGCAGGCTGCCACCCTTCAGCCTTCATGGTTGGGCCTCCTATCCTGACATCTACATAATGAGACCTCCCCACTTGACACTGGTGAGGGAAGCAGGGTCCTTAACCTCAGCGCTGGGTCAGGGCTTCTTAAGATGTGACCCACCATGTGCGCCGGGACCCCACAGAGCTAGTTAACATGCCGCTTCCTGGCCCCGCCCCAGACCTATGAGTAAAAACCTTTGGGGGTCAGGCCCCAGACTCTACATTTTCTAACAAACCCCAGAGGAGATTCTCATGAACAGCAGAATTAGAAAACACCTGCCCTCAATCCATATCTCAGCATCCCATGTTTATTTCTTTCGTTCTTTTTGAAGTGGATGGGCTGGACGCGGCTTTCCTGCCTTCTGGCCTGTACTGTGCTTCTGGCCCCATGCGCTCTCCAGCAGCTCACTGGAGGGAGCCTGGGGAGCAGGTCGGCATCCAAGTCAGCTGGGGATTTTCCTCAGAGCTCTCCAAAAGCATGACTCGCACAGCTGGATTACGGCCGCCCTGGAATAAGGGCTCCTTGGTGCAGTGGAACTCAGCATTGAGGGTGGAGTCCCGGGCTTGGAGTAGCTGCTGGGAGGCACTGGGAGACATATTCAGGGAAAACAAGTGGAGCCGATTGTGGACTTCTTAGTTTCCCTAGAGAAGTGGGCAGGGAGACGGCCATGTGACGGGCTGGCCAAGCTGGCACGGCTTGGGGTCTGGGAGCTTGCTACACGGGCCTGTCTAACTTGTGTTTCCCCTGCAGTGTATCCCCCTATTCCATTGTCATCCATGCCAGTACCCATGGCCCCAACTAGGCAGGTTCCTCCCTCTACCCGCTTTTACTGTTGTCTTGACTTCTTCTCATCTGAGACAGTTTTTACCTGAACTGGCCATTCCTGGAATCTGCTGGGATTGGAGATGGATCTGGTGGCCCTCAGCTTTAGAGCCCTCACCCCCCTCGAAGCTCCCTCTCTTCCTTCCCCAGTCTTTCTCACTCCTTCTCCTTGCTCTACCGGCCCCTCTCTTTTGCCCTTCCTGCCGTAATAGATTGAAACCAACCTTGTGTTCCGGCTTCTTGTGGTCCTGGTAAGTAGCTCTTAGCGTGGCCGTGGTGGATGGGGAGAAGGTGTGGGGAGCAGGGGCACTTGCCTTCCTCTCTGATGGGAGGAGCAGGGGTAGGTGCCCCACAGGTCCTGCCCATGCACTGCGTTAACAGCAGAGCCCTCTCAGGGCCTGGACAGACCCGGGACTGGTCTGCCCTTAGTTTCTCCCCTTGGTATGCAAAGGAAGATGATCAGTGAGGGCTACAGAACAGCCTGGAGCATTCGGCCAGCACTGGGCGATCAGGAGCTGCTAGGCCCTACTTTGAGGGCAGAAATCGACCTTTTCATGTGTATTAAGCAAACAGGAGTTAATTACACTATTTACACATCTTCGATTTTCTTCCTAAGCCTTAGTGGCCTGGCAGTTATCATTCCTGACCTTGTTGCTGCACACAGGAGCCCATGTGGGGATAAATCACACGGCAGAATCCGTTTAATATTGACATTTTCAAAATCAATGAAGAGTGGGGCCTGGCCAGCAGGGCCAGGATATCAGGTGATGGGAGTCAGTGTGAATTCTGTCTCCCAGCCTCAGGGATGCTTTCTTAGCTCTTCTGCCAAAACCTCTTCTTTTGTGCTCCCAAGGGAAGTGCTGGGTTGGGTCTGCTTTCTCCCGGAAGGAGAGAGGACTCTCAGATTTGCACCCAGTGCTCTCTTTGCCTTCTGTGTAAGTGTAAATGGGAAGGCATGGGACACCCCATCCTTTGCTTTGTTGCTTTCCCCACTTCCCAGACCAGGCAAGCAGGGACTTGGGGGTTTGGGGGTGTAGGGTATGGTGGGTACCCCTGGCTTGGGAGGAAACACTCTGGCATTTCATGGTGTGGGCTGCCGAGTGGGGCCCAGGCCCGGGAATGGGCCTGCTTCTGTGGGGTCAGCAGCTTTCCAGGCACGGAGAGGAGAGACAGCCCTTCAGACTTCCACTAACTGGTATGAGGCGCCCATCCTCACGGGAACCACCCCCAGAAATCTGAGTGGATGCGAGGCTCCTGTCTTTAGTATTTTTCTCCTCTAGAAACAGCTTGCTGGAGGCTCTGCTTTTTTGTGTAGCAAGACACCCAGTTCTTTGGAGAGTCAGGCTCTCTCATCTGCCAGTGTCAACCCCTTAGGGGTGTGGACAGACGAGCGGGAGAGGCAGCTATGCTTGCAGTGGCCTCTTAGCAGCCTGCAAGGGGTCCCAGCACAAGGCACAGGTTGCTGGACTTTCAGACCTATCTCAGCCCAAACCCCTCTCCCACTCAGACCAGCCCCGTCCCCGTGAGCCCTGTGGCAACACTCTGGCCAGTGTCACTTGGGTTCTGCTGCTGGCCTGGGTGTGTGTGTGTGTGTGTGTGTGTGTGTGTGTGTGTGTGGACGATGCTTGCCGGGCATCTCTGCGCTCCCACTCTATCGGTGACATCATTTAGTTGGCCTGTGGTTTGTGTGTGTGTGTGCCGATCAGGATGTTCCTGTTTTGTGGTTGTCTGACCACTTGTTTTTGGCCATGGGTTTCTGTATGAGTATTTATTTTTAGAGGTTGCCACTTCTGGCCCCAGGGCTGATCTGGGGGCATGGGAGGAGCTTGTGTTTTCTGAAATGTTTGTGGCTTTAAATTTTAGTATTTATTTTTGGGTGTTGCTGCCTATCGTGTGTTCATTCTATTGTGTGTGTATGCATGTGTGAGATATGAGAGCCAGTGAGTGTAGAATAATAAAAATTGTGTGCTTTTTGAAGTTCTGTTTTAATTTAGTTTTGACTTTAACTTAGTTTTATGTTTATTGTCTTAAATTAGTTCTGATATTAAGTCCCAGCTTTACTAGGTGCTATGTGTCTGCAAATAAATAGTTTCACCTCTCAGAACCTCAGTTTCTCCATCTTTAAAATGGGCCAAACACTCCCTAACACACAGGATTAGAAACAATGTTTGTGTAAAGTATGTAGCAAAGTGTTTGGCTGCATGGTACTGATGATTATTATTTGTATTTGCATATATGTACCCACAGTGTGCTTTCTGACTGGGGGCACCTGGGCATTTGATATGGGTGATTACTGGCTGGCATGTAGGTCTTTGGACATCTTTGTGCCAAGTTGTGTGTGTGTGTGTGTGTGTGTGTGTGTGTGTGTGACTGTTCGGGCCTGGTTTGGGGTTTGTGCAGTATTTGAGAGAATCGGGTCTGGGTTGGGGTTTGTGCAGTATTTGGGAGAAACTTTTTTTTGCCAAGTGGGGGCCTGCCTCGGAGTGAGGGAAGGTGTGTGTGTGTGTGTGTGTGTATCTTGGGCTGGGAGTTGGGCTGCTGATTGTACAGGGTGTGAAATCACTGAGTTCCTCTGGGCGGGGGAAGTTCTTCGTTCCTGAGTCAGCCCTTTGGCCTTGAGCCACCCAGCGCTCACTTTTTCCTTTCAGAGAAAGTATTGCTCAGGGGGCCCTGGAGCTGTCTGTAGACAAAATGACACAGGGGGCACCTCTCCCCGATGAAAACTTCTGCCTTTTGTTCTCAATCTCTAAGATGCTTCCCTGCCCCCGCCCCAAGCCCTTTCCAGAACCTTCCTGGGCCCCAGCATTCAGAGTGAATGCGCCTCATTTGACATGGGGCCTGCTGGCTTTGGTCCAGAACTTCCAGGTCCTTGGGAAGCTAGCAAGATGACAGAGGCAAATTTTGGACTGAGCGACTTAACCCCCAAGACCCCCTGCCCAATCTTACGATCTGCTGCCTGGCCCTGAAGCAGGGTGTTGGGATGGGTCCTTTAGTCCTTTTGCCTGTCCGTCACCTCGCTCTATCGCAGGGTACTGAGAGGAAGTTTTAGGATCCAGGGAATGGAAGCTCTTACTCCTCTCCTCAGGAGAATAGATGATGTCCCTGCTTCCCACTGACATCTGCTCTTTCTCTTGCAGAGGTTGTGGGACACACGCAGGGGCCGCTGGATGGGAGCCTGTATGCCAAGGTGAAGAAGAAGGACTCCCTGAATGGCAGCACTGGGGCTGTCAATGCCACACGTCCTGCTCTGTCGGCCACTCCCAACCACGTGGAACACACCCTGTCCGTGAGCAGCGACTCCGGCAACTCCACAGCCTCCACCAAGACAGACAAGACTGATGAGCCTGCCCCCGGCCCCTCCAGTGCCCCTGTTGCCCTGAGTCCTGAGGAGAAGCGCGAGCTGGACCGCCTGCTCAGTGGCTTCGGCTTAGAACGAGAGAAGCCAGGCAATATGTACCACACCCAGCACCTCCGGTCCCGCCTGGCGGGGGGCCCTGCTGTGCCCTCTGCCAGCCGTCATGTTGTCCCAGCCCAGGTTCACGTCAACGGTGGGGCCTTGGCATCTGAGCGGGAGACAGACATTCTGGACGATGAACTGCCCAACCAGGACGGGCACAGCGTGGGCAGCATGGGCACATTGTCTTCCCTGGACGGGATCACCAACACCAGTGAGGGGGGCTATCCAGAGGCGTTGTCCCCCTTGACCAATGGCCTGGACAAGCCCTACGCCGTGGAACCTATGGTGAATGGTGGGGGCTACCCCTATGAGTCTGCCAGCCGGGCAGTGCCTGCCCATGCGGGCCACCTGGCCCCCATGCGACCCTCCTACTCTGCACAGGAGGGTTTAGCTGGCTACCAGCGGGAGGGCCCCCACCCTGCCTGGTCACAGCAAGTGACCACCTCCCACTATGGTCATGACCCCAGCAGTATGTTCCGCTCTCAGTCCTTCCCGGACACTGAGCCCCAGCTGCCCCCAGCTCCAGCCCGGGGGGGAAGCAGTCGGGAGGCTGTGCAGAGGGGCCTCAATTCCTGGCAGCAGCAGCAGCAGCAGCAGCAGCAGCAGCAGCAGCAGCCTCACCCGCCTCCTCGTCAGCAGGAAAGAGCCCACTTGGAGAGAGGCCCGGCCCCCAGCCATTGGCAGAGACACCCACGCCTGGCCTCCCTGAGTTCCCGAGGGCAGCCTCCCAGCAGGAGATCGAGCAGTCCATTGAAGCCCTCAACATGCTGATGCTGGACCTAGAGCCATCCTCGGCTGCCGCCCCGCTGCACAAATCCCAGAGTGTCCCTGGGGCCTGGCCTGGGGCCTCCCCGCTCTCCTCTCAGCCTCTTTCTGGCTCCTCCTACCAGACCCATCCACTGACCCAGTCCAGATCTGGCTACATCCCCAGTGGGCATTCCTTGGGAACCCCTGAGCCAGCCCCACGAGCCTCCCTGGAGTCCGTCCCTCAGGGCAGGTCTTACTCACCTTATGATTATCAGGCATGCCTGGCTGGGCCCAACCAGAGTTACCGTCCAAAGAGCCCAGCTTCCTCCTCTTCCTTGCCTGCTTTCCTTCCAACCAACCACAGCCCTCCAGGGCCTCAGCAGCCCCCCACCTCTCTCCCTGGCCTCGCTGCTCAGCCTCAGCTCCCACCAAAGGAGGTGACTTCAGACCCATCCCGAACTCCGGAGGAGGAGCCCTTGAACCTGGAGGGGCTGGTGGCCCATCGGGTAGCAGGTATGAGCCTCAGGGACCATCCGTGCTGGGTATCCCCTCTTTATTCTCTCCATATCTTCCCTGTTTGGTCTCGGTTGGTCTAGCTGGGGGAAGGTACAGGCAGAGCCATCACACCTCAGCGGACACTGGTTTAGCCTGGAGAAGAGGCTGGCAGGAGCCCACACTAGCCATCCCTTCCTGCATTCATTGTCTGTTAGGCTCCAAAGCAGGCATTGAGATGGAAAGATCAATGTCTTTCAGTTCCTGTCCTCAAGGAACTTACAGTCTAGTGAGGGACAGGTAATTCTAACAGAGTGCAATGTGTGCTACACAGAGGTGGAGACCAAAGCCCTAGAGCCTGG